TGTAATTACTAAACGACAAGAGGGGGGGTGAATTGTAAAAAGTTTTCTCTTAATAAAAATTAACCCTAAACAAGAGTTCTAATTTTTGTTGTTTTTTGAAATATTAAAATAAAGATCAATGCAATTTTGCTTTATCAAAAAACCACGTGCAATAGATATGAAAAATTAAAGTGCAAGCAAAAAGTAAACAATGATAAAGAACGAACACACCAAGATTTTTATAGTGGTTCGGTCAAAATATGACCTACGTCCACTCCCCGGAGTCCTCCACTCCGGGATTTTCACTATAAAAATAGTTCTCCTTTTTCCCCCCTTGGCAAGGCGGAGAAGCCTGTACAAACCTCCCTTTCACCAACCCGGCGTGGCGGAATACCAAACTCTATTTTCGCCCTCTTGGCGACGGTAGAGAACCTTCTCATTTTTCTCCCTCTTGGAGAAGGCAGAGAACCTCGAGGTAACGGATGTAGACGAGCCTTTCCCTTGGAGATCCTCCCTCAAATCCTTCTCGGGCCACAGGAGGAGCAAGATGCAGCAAGCTTGGAGCAACCGTGTGATCTCCCTCACACCTCTTCTCCCTCACAACGCTCACCTCCTCCTTCCTCTCAACCCTCAAGAATTTCTCTTGAGTTTTCTCCCTTGGAATCCCTCTCTAATCACGTTCACCCTCTCTAACAATCTTTCCCAAAAAGAACTTGATTGGCATATTAAAAAAGGCTCCAAAAACCTCTTAATTCAAAATTAGCCGTTACTGTTCGTACAGTACGATCTGGTATCGTACAGTACGATCTTCATAAACAGCCGTCGTCCTGGTACGAAGATGTACGAACAGTACAAAAACAATTCGTACTGTACGATATAATATCGTACGGTATGATTCAACAAGATACTATTCGTACAGGACGATGGTCTGGATGATCGGATGTCGTCTCTGTTCATCGTATGGTACGATTGACATCGTACAGTACGATGTGACAAAAACTAAGAGATCGTCCAGGATGATATCCGAGACGATCATACTTCGTCTATGTTCATCGTATGGTACGATCAAGTTCGTACAGTATGCTGTTTAAATTTTAATGAGGCCTGGATTACATGCACTAATCACGGGTTAATTTAAGTAAGTACTAAAAATGTATCGTACAGTACGAACCAGTTCTTACAGTACGAACGGCGCAAAATCACTTACCTAAACTAAGTCACGGCTAGGGTTTTGGATCTAAACATATCGTACAGTACGAAAGACTTCGTACAGTACGAGCTATTCATAGAATTGTCCACATAACTTGGATCGTACGGTATGAAATAAAATCATACAATACGATCTCTAGAGAAGAATTTTAGTTATATTTTTTTAGTTAAAAAAGTACTCTCCCCCTGTGTGTGTGCATGGTTGCTCTTACTCTTACGCATTTTTTGGGCAGACTCAATAATGTAAAAATACAATAAATGAAAAATACAATGTTTGACTCATACTCCTAATCTACCCGGTATTGAGTCTTCCTTTCTTCCTGAGTCACTTGTGATCTTCCTGAAATGTTAGTGCTCAAGGAAAATAACAAATAAAATAATAATCAATGAAAAGCAGTTCCAAAACACTCATTATTTGGCATCATCAAAATCTCAAACTCGGGGTCATGGGTTGCAACAAGATTGAGGAAAGAGTTTATACTTGTGGAGCTTTGCGTGTATTTTCAATATTTGTGGCACATTTTCTGCACCTTTTTACTTGTGGGCTAATTTTGTTCCTCTTTTTTAAATTGCGAACCATTACGCATTCTTTTGATTTTTTGTATTTTGTATATTTTCAAATATATTATTGATCTTTCCAAAATCAATAATCTAAAATCTTAAATTTTTCTAAGTACAATAATATTTATATTGATAAAATAAATATAAAATAAGAAAATATCATAATTACAATTATAATATAAAAATTATAGTAGTCTAGCAAGAGACATGAGATTGACATTCTTAACTAGATCAAATTATAATCACAACTTAAAGTTTTTAAAAAATTAGATTTTCTAATTAATTCAATTTTGTATTGCAATTCAAAGTATAGCACTTATAAGATCAAATATTTTAAGGATGATCATATAGGCTAACACACATTTCTGAAAAAAAATAATTTAAAAGAAATACAAGATAATTTTCATTGTTATCATGATAAAGGATTTTACATCGGTCATGGATGATATCAATACAACGATAATTTTTTTATATTAAAAAAATGAGAATTTGATACATCACAGAATATAACAAAAAAACAACTACAACACAAAACATGCCATCACATCAAGTCATCACAGGTATAAAGAAACATATCAGAACTATAGACATCACTCAAAAGGTCCCTGATCTGGAGGATGAGGGTTGAAAATATTATAATAGCTATTCATCATAGCTATATTCATGTTGATCGATTCAAACTGACCTCTAACCCAACCGATATCCTGCTGATATTGATAGTCCTGTTGTTGAAGATCAGTTTCAATCTGATCAAAATGTTGATAAAAATGACTCTCAAGACGAACAAAACTTTGGACCAAATCCTAAAAATTTTGTCTACCCGCAGGTGCAGGTGGAGGTCCTCTTTTTTCCTTATCTGAGTCACTACCAAAAAATTAATCATCATTATTAAAGATGGATCAAAATGATCCATCATTGAAGTAGACAGGCTCCTCTAGATTTTGAACAGGATAAACTAGTTCATACTTCTTTTCCAAAATGTAAGTCATAAGATGTCCTAATGCAATATTCTTCTTTCTCTTATATGAAATATGGCCAATCTCAGAAAGTCCATACATGTAGTAAATGATCAATTGGGCTTCATCTATTGGTTGGAAAGTCATAATCAGATAAGTCACTGTAAAAAGAAGAGGTGTGATATTTACTCGATCACCAGCTTTAGGAATAAAGGAAGTGCGAAGAACATGCTGGATGATACGGGTATTGTGGTTAAGAGTGGCTACCTTAGGCATATGACCTACTCTCCTCTACATCCTATAATGACTTGATTTATTGCTGTCCAGTCAAAGTTGGTGGAAGAGGTCAAAGTGTGAGCTCTAATCCTTGAGTCCTTAAGTTTAAAAATATCTCTAAATCTTCTTTTGTAATCTCTACTTTCTTCTTAAAAGCATACGACCAAATCACAGTTTGGTCAGAGTTAAAAGACATATTTGCAAGGAAGCAGTGGAAAGTCTCCTTGTTGTAGAGGTGGATCAGAGTCAGAATAAGACCGAACTGGATAGAAGCAAAAAGGTCCATTACCTTGAAAGTGAGTTGTTCTTGGAGAAGGACTCTAGAGGGGGTGATTTTGGTGGATGCAAACCTAGGAAAAGACTTCTCCTTTTCTTTGAAAAGAAAGTTTTCTCCTGAGTTTTTAGAGTGGGGCACCTTAGCAAGTACCTTTTGCCTGTCTATTTTGCGTGAACTAGCCATGGAGAAGATCAAGGAGATTTAAATGATTGTAAGGGATTTTTAGGTGATGAAATTTGAGTTCAAAACCTTTCAATTTTAAAGAGAAAATGAACTTTCGTACGAACAAAAATAATTTCATCCTATACAATTTTAGGTTCATACGTACGAAAGGTATTTCATATGGATGAATGAATGGGTCCAAAAAAGAAACAGCTTTTCATAAACATGCAAGTTCTGAGGCATCCTTTTGTACAGACTTTTGACCAAATGATCGTACAGACAAACAAATATTCATCCTGGACGATCGATTATTTAAGGTCATTTTTATGAAGGTTTGAAATGTCCC